ATGCTTACCTGCTTTTTGCAAACTTGCGCTCCATTCTCCATTGTCGATCCATTAAACTTCAAACAACACACGCTTCACGAACACACAATGAGAATCCCCACAAAGTTGAAAATAAATGTGGATTACACTCAGTAATGAACCGGTAAGATGATCAACCGTTCGTGCCTAAATGGCACTAAATTGGTACTAAATTGGTACTTTTATCCCGTTTATGAACAAAGAACCGACGACCGATTCATTCCCTTGCCGATAATAGACTGACTGAACCTTTCCGATAAAACTCATGCGAAATTAAGGTGTTTATCAAATGAAAAAATTCACCGGACTAGTTTGTATCTTTAGCGTAAACAAAGTTGCTTTGTCGGGTAAAGATAAACAAAAATCGCCGTTCAAGGGGCGACTTTTGAAGGTTAAATTAAATACTCGCTCTCCGATTAATCATTTGTTCAATTGTCTTGAAACGTGAAAACCCTTTGAGCTTGATCTATTGTAGGAGGTGGCACAATTTTTAGCATATCTACCAGAATCAAAGTAAACCATTCGCAAAATATGCCGTGATTTGTGAATGCTTCACTTTGATTGCACTATTAAGAGCGACGGAAAATTCGAACTTTTACTCAACTGCACGCTTTCATTTAAAAATTCATAACTTTCCGTGTAAAGCAAGTAGCACCTTGAAACTTTCACTCCCTATAGAAGATTCATGTGGTTAAAAGCGCTGAAATTCCCACTTCAATCGCCCTAAAGTCTGGTTTTTTCCAACGGTTTGAAAAATTAGTCAGAACTTCGCATTTATGATGTGCTCGCAGTAGAAAACCCCTATTTTACATAGTAAAGCCACAGCTTAAATATCATATGATATATAAACTTTTGTAAAGTAGTCTACTGTGGTATCTACTGTTGCTCGCAACGTTAAAGCGACAGAACACTTAACTTTATTACTGTGGTAATTTGGGATTTTCGAACTTTTGGTGGTCTTGAGCCAAGACGATATTACGACGCCCTTTCGAAAACGAGAAACGAACAAAAAGTAGTCCAATCGTCAATCGCAGTACAATGTAGCCAATTTGTTGACAAATAGTGTAATATATAATAGTAATATTTAAATATATAAAGTTTTTAACGTGTTTAGCAGTAGATCCTAATGGCTTAGCGATATAGCGGCTAGCGATGGCCGGTATTTAACGTAACCGCTAAAATAACAGTGTTCCAAACGTGTAACGTGAAACCGTAGTTAAAGCTACCCGATTTAGCCGGATTTTTTAAAAACCGTCTCATAAAACCGAAATAGCGGTGCGCACGTCGGATACTGTCGAGCGATCTGTCCAGCTGCAGCCGTTTTCCAATTTAAATCGTTGTTTTTGAAACCGTCTCATAAAACCGAAACAGTTGTGCGCACTTCGAACCAGCTGCAGCCGTTTGCCGACTTAACCCGTTCTTTTTGGAACCGTCTCATAAAACCGAAACAGTTGTGCTCAGTTTGCGCCAGCTGCAGCCGTTTGCCGATGTAAAGGTTGTTTTTGGAACCGTCTCATAAACCTGAAAAAGTGGTTCGCGTAAGCACAGAACCGATGCGGCATCGCCAAGCGTTCTCGGTCTATCCAGTTGCAGCAGTTTTAGTAACCATTTGTCAACGGAAAATATGTTGTATGTAGTTGCGCATTGCCTTGATGATTGTGTATCACTGTTGGTTTATAAGAATTACTGTTCAGTTCTCCAGGAACCAGCGAAAATTTGTTTAGTTGCTGCGATGATATAATTCAGCGTTTTTACTTTATAAGTATTTAGTTTTCTGACATTCTGTAATAAATCGTAAAAAAAGGATTTCTCAAGAAACTTAGCTCGAGAAGTGTATGCCCATTACCAGCAAACTAAGCAGAATGTACACTTGCATATGAGCTATGAGCAAACTAAGAGTCTAAGACATAAATTCCATCACAGTTGAAATGTAAAATAACAACCGTTTTTAGCAGAATGTGACCTGGATTTGTGTGGAATGTGACCTGGAATGTGTTTAAGTGAATGTGCACCTGGATTTAAGCAAGCTGGCCATTTTTAAACATAAATTCAGTTAGAACGAAGAACGAAGAATTTCACGAAGAACTAGAATCATTAAAAAGCATCTGCAAACAATTTTATTCTTAAATGTTAATCCATTTTTAAATGAAAATGATATTTTTAAACGTTTTCGCATGTAAACCGTATATTTTATTTAACCACTCTAGTTTATTATTAGTTTTTTGTTCTTTAAGTAGTTACTCTAAAGGAAATCATTATATATCGTCACTAGTTCTACTATCATCATCATTCTGCATTTTTAATGAAAAATTTAAAAGTCACATGTTCCTTTTGGAACCGCACATAGAAACCTATTACCAAGGTGAAACTGAAACGGTGTAACCGGTAACAGAAAAATAGCCGTTTAGCACACCGAAAAGAACACCAATCATTAGAGGGCGGAAAATATGCAAAGTGCATATCTATGCATTTTTTGCATATTTTATCCAATTTCATGAAAAATTGCATATATCTAAAAAATCTGT